ATACACTGCTAAAATACAGAACAACAATAATAAAACAACTGGCACAGAACACATTTGAATTCTCATAAAAAAGTTTCCAACACCTATTTTTATTTTCACATTTAAATGCATTGGAATAAACAAAATTCTCATAAACAAAACATTTTTTTCTAAATTATCAATATACTAGAAAATGATATAAAATTCAGTAATTTGTTCTATGAATATTTATCATTTAAAATATAAAAAGCCTGAAGTTCTCAGAACTGAAAACTATTCAAAACTTCTTTCAGGCAAAAATGCTTATTTAATTGTCTACATAAAGAATATTTTGCTGCCTTAGTTTCATATAGGTTTATATTTTTTCAACTGAAATGTGGATTAGTTTTAAAGATAGTGAAATGTTACAGCATGTGTTCAGAATTGATGGGTTTCTTTTCCTGTAAGAGGGAAAAAAAAAAAAAAAAAAAAAAAACTAAGCACTTCAGCCAACTTCTGGGGGGGGGAGGAGGTCTTGTGGAAGCCAAACCTAATGGAATGGAAACAGAATTTCCCAATGGGAGATCTGGACTGATGCTCTGATGTTGTTTATTCATTACAAAACAAAAAAATATTAAAAGGCAAAGAATGATTTGAGACTTAGTAATGCACTCATTGCGTCCATAAAGATTTTTCTTTCTGTAAAAACTAGGATATTATTTTCTGAGATGTTTAAGATGTCCTTGAATAGTTAAGTTGGAATGAAAAAAATCGACAAATAACACACATGCTATTTTTATGCAGGAGATTTCAGCAGCAGCAAATTGCTATCAATTTAGAAAAATTTGAATTGATGATGCAAATTTAAAATAGGAATGAATTTATCAAAATCAGCACAGCTTTTGCAGGAATTAGCCAAATGATGAAAATAATATATATCACTTGGGTATCAAAAAGTAAGTTCACACTGCAAGGGAAAATTTTACCTGAAAAATAGCAATGTATCAGTAAGCAAATATCCCAATCAATTTCAGATAGCAAGCTGCAATAAGTAAGCTGAAATATGGGACATTGCATGTAAGAATCTTGTTGGATCATGGACTTTGGATGTCCTATGAAAAAAGATGCATACAAGAATTAGAATACGTCAGTCGAATAACTTTGTCATTTCACTTGAAATGTAGATACACTAACTTTTACTCACACTAAAGAAATGAATAAATTTCTTACAGAAATTCTTATAAATGAAATCCACTACTGTCAACAATAGGAAAGAGAACCGTAGTTTCTATTGTTTATTAAAATAGTAGTATAACAACATTAAAGTATATTAGTTCTTTTTAACTGGTTAGATGAAAGTCTCAAAAGATTTTACACATTTTTTTTGGATCAAATTCTTCTTCCAAACATACTCCTTATAAGTAGTACTTCTAAAATTCCTAGCATTGCTTTACAGTAAATATTTCTGAAATGATGATTTGCAATTTCAGTCTATGTAAGGAAATTTCAGTAGAAAACTGGCATTATATATATACCTAGTTGTACAAATTCTTTTTTAAAATTTTGGCATTAGCAATAGTTCTTTGAGTGACAGAAAATGACTTTTATGGAGAATTTTTTTCTGAAAATTTGCCTCAGTTTTATATTATATTAAAAATAATCATGAAAAGCCTGTATAGAACTGCTTGTTTTAGTGCAAATGAATTCAGAGCAACTGGCATTTAGTAGCTCTATCCTATAGACCAGCAGCAAATTATCATATAAATGCATCATACTCTATTATGCTTCACTGACATCACAGCCAAGGATTCTTATTCACTTTCCTACTGCTTTGCACGATGAACAATTCACAGTAATCAAAAAACATCCTGAAAAGCATTGTTTTTAATAATATTTTTTTAAAGTTTAATTCCACTAACCAGAATAATTTCCATTCTTTTAATAAGGAATATGAGCTATTTTTTTCATTTGTAATAAATTATCCTATGTAATAAATTATCTAAAAGAAATGAAAATAAAATCTCCCACTGAATTCACTTAATCACAAGCCTAGCTTTTTTCATGTCACAAGTATCCATTCCTCCTTAGCAAAATTATAACAACTACATTTAGAAATTTTTCTTTTTTAGGGTACTTTCAAATTGGTGCTTGTCTTCTGCTGATTTTTAGCTATTTAAGAACAAAATATGGAATCTGTTTAAATAACAGATGGAACAATTTTCTGTCATTACATCTAGTACAAAATTTTTGCATTACACAGAATCTGCTTCAACAGGGTTCATAGCCACATTTTAATTCAAAAAATAAGCACTTTTCAAGCACATTTTAAGAAAAAAAAAATAATAATAAGCACCTGTCTAATTACATTATACACAACTGCATAACTTCAAAAATTTGACTCGTAATTTAAAATATGAGAAATGCAGTATTTATTAAGAGAGAATAAGCATGGGCAGAGAAAGGGGGAACCTCAACCATGGAAAATAATTACTTTTTTTAAAATTTTAAATAACAGTTCAATTTATAGAACTAGTTTACAATAAGAGAAAAAAAACTATGCACAACTAAACTATATTACAAGGTTTAATGATGAAATTTCAGTTCAAAATAGAGGAAATAAATAATAAGGCATATTTATTCTATTCACTTGGAACTTAATAATAAATGCAATTTATTTTTTCACTCATATTGATATTTAACTAATTTAAATCTAAATTCTGAACATTTTCTAAATTTTCATCGTATACCAGTTTTTCCTTAACAGATATTGCAAGCAAAGTAATTTTAAAAAAAGAGGAACATTTCTGAAATCAGAAGACAGAAATTTACTTCATGCAGTCCTCCTTTAACAGTAAAAGCTTAACTACCCGCATACTCGAAAACTGGCGAATATTCGGACAGTCGAGCATAACTTGAAAAAGAGGAGCGGAGGGGGGGGATAGACTGTAGACCTTCTTTAGATTTTTCCGCTAAATAAATGCTTTTGACATTTCGATATGTGCATCATATAAAAACAAACCAACGGAACAGAAAAATATTCTGCTTAAGCAAACACAGTAAAACTCTTTTAAGTGTTCATAAACAAATCTCGCACCGAAACATCAAAATTAATTATCTCTGCAAAATATCGCATAAACGTTATTGCTCACTATGTGCGCCGTAATTCCTTCCCTACATGATATTACGCAATAGGATTCAACAGCTGCCGATATTGGGAGAATAAAGAACTAAATCAAGGAAAAGAAAGAGACTTGGGGTGTTTTTCATTCTAATTTTCAACAGACTGCGTTAAATTTCCGGAATAGAATCATTCTTCGCTTGGGTTGGTAGACCGCAAAACTTTTAGTCCTATTCAATCCAAATTGGAAAGTGACTGACAAAAAAAAAAAAAAAAAAAAGGTCTGTTGCTTATTTTGCAACGAACTGTAACAGTTTCAATATTCGATATTTTGCGGAGAAAGGGGAGAACCTCCCAACCTTCGTACTGTATAATGTATTGGCCAAAAAAATGAAATTATTTTATTATTTTGACTATTCGATTACTTTCCCTTTATTTATGCCATTCCAAATATTATTAATTAGAAAGCTAATCTGTGTTAAAACACAACCATTTTTGGAAGTTTACTATACTTCAGCAGTTACTGCAACTATGTTATTACAAACATTCATACATATGCTCATAATATAAGCATAACGATCATAATATCATAATAAACACGAATATGAACTGACCAAGGGGAATGAGAATGCAAATTATTAAGATCTTGATAGAAATTCAAACGTGTGTAGTATTTGGGTGGGAAGAAAAGAATGCTAAATGTACCGGAATTTTGTACTGCTTTCGCAATTCTTTGACCAACAGAACGACGGGCACCTGTCTGTACTCTCCGCGCACACCAGAGGTTATGTTAATGCAGAGAAAGGGGGAAAAGCTATTTCCGAGAGTATGATTCACAATCTGACATTCCATATTAGGAAGAAATTTGTTTATTTAGTTTCGGCTTTGGTACCGGGAAAAATTGCGCGTTCATTTAAAAAAAAACACTAAAAGCAAAAAATAAGCACTAAAAACAAAAAAAATAAGGGCTTTAAAGAAAATGTAAGCACCTATAAGGGCCTTTATATTATATTTTCAAATATAAGGACTTATAAGCACTTATAAGGACCACTACGAACCCTGTTCAAGTCAGAATAGTTTTTTGACATTTCTTAAAAGTGCATTTTATGACACTCAGTTTGTTAATGCAGAAGTAATAACGGATGCATCACCCACTAAGTATATTTAAAGAATTCTCAGGTAGCTCCAACATGACATCAAAAGATTTTATTTTATTGCACTTAGCCAGAGAGTGTTGCATAACATTTACCTCAGCTTGTTGAATAAGATTAAGAATTCAATACAATTTCTACGAAGTAAGCAAAAATCTAGTGGTTCAATACTTAAAAGCTGCATGGGTTTATGAAGAAAACATTGCTTATAAGAACAACACAACAAAACAATAAACAAAGAACATGTATATTATAAATAAGATCTGATGTGTACAGTGTTTGGGAAAAGAGGCTATATGTTTTTATTTCTTGAAATATTGATATTAGAGAAGAACTTCCTACCATCAAATTTCAATAAATAAGATAGAGAATTCTGTAAAAACAGTTTGAATCCTTTGGATGGAAAGGTTCTGTAAATAAAAATTTTAACTTGCTATATGGTTACTGAAAAGCAAACATTCCACTTAGTAAAATATATGCTTAATTAAAAACAAACAAACCAAAAAAAAAACTTACATATCTTTATTGCAAAATTTACAGAGATACCTTTAATAGGCACCTTCAACAGACAGCAAAAAATTTAATATTAATATTGTTTTATTTTAATTAAAATCACAAACTTTAGCAGCTTTTGTTCTGTAATTTTCTAAAAGCTTCTCAGAAATCAGTCAAAATTAGCATGAAAAAATTATGAAAGGTAATAAATTTGTTCTTGAATATTTCATAACTTTAGCATATTTATATTATAACTATTTCTAAAAAAATATTCATACCGGCATTTCTGCGGCACATCATCATATCTGCCACAGATGTCCAAGAATTAGATTCAGGGTTGTAGCATTCTACACTCTTCCTCACTAAAGGTCCATCATGCCCACCAACAGCATAAAGAAGTCCATCCATAACTCCAACACCTGCACCACTTCGTCGTGCAGACATTTCTGCAACAGGCATCCAGGTATCAGTATCAGGATCATATTGTTCAACAGTGCCTAAACACTGCCGGGAAGCTCCATCATAGCCACCAACAGCATACAGCAAACCTACAATACAATTCAGAAATTAGGTGTAAATAAAATTTTATGACAAATATTTTTAAAATAAATTTTATATTATGCCCAAAAGGGACATTTTTTAACGTTTTGTGTGTTACCTTTACTAATTAAATATCATGTTCTTTGCACTTAAACCGTAAAAATCAATTTAACAGCATTATCCAAAATATTTAAAAGAGCATACATTTAGACTTTCCGATACACAGTCTCATGTGCTGGACATAAAATCCCCCCCCAGGGTCCGGTGTTGCCATTCCTTGCTTCAAACTCGTTGAATTTGTTAATCAAAAACTCTTTAATGTTTGACCAACTATGAAAAACAGATATAACAAATTCCAAATTTGGGCTTCCAAATGCCCATATTTGAATACAGGACTATGTTATTCAAAATTTGATGTCTCTAAGTGCCCCCCTTTTTTTCGGCAGCATGAGAAACATACATACATTCATGCAGATTCTTCATCATTTAATTTCTTGAAATGTAATGCTGGGCTCTAATATTTGGTAGCAACAATCTGAAAAGTGAACTGAAGCAAAATGCAAAACAAAATTAATAGCCTTTCTGGGCAAACTGGCCCTTTGGGCTAAACATTAGTAAACAATAAAACACAATTATAATACTTTTAAAATAATCTAAGTTTGGTTTGGTTTATTTAATAATGGCAAAGCACACTAGGGCTATCTGCCTAAGGGGAGGGATGCCTTTGTGGAGGACTTTCTAAGGGGAACTGACTCGTATACACGTTACACATGGGGAAAACCATGAAAACACCCATGCAGCCAGCCCGTCACGGGATTCAAACCTCAGACCGAACTACAGAGTTCAGCGACTACAATAATCTAAAGATAAAAGACTGATTACACCAAATAACAGCTTAACAGTATTGAAAACAAAATCAGCATTTTTTATAGAATTTCCTAAGCTGTATACGTAAAGTTGTACCCCAGGGGGGGGGCCCAAGAGCGATGCGTAGTGCAGGGAGAAAGTTATGCCAAATACGCATGACGTCATGTGGGTGACAGCGTTAGTTCTTGGCATTTGTTTACTTTCGTTGCATCAACAGTTTGATTTGATTTGTGTTGTTAATTTGCTATTATACCTAGGCGGAAGTGGCGAATTGTGCTATAGCGTTGTGTCAGAATTATACACGTTAATACGTTTTTTGGCGGAAAACACTCTTTACAACCAGATAAAATAACTATTTTTTTAATGAATTTATGTAGTTTTCATACATAACTGTGATGTAATTTTACATTTATTTTCATTTTACTGCTATTTTACATTTAAATTGAAAAATTTCTCATTTTAAATCATTTTTTATCATAACCTTCATTTTGTGTATGAGACTTACATCGTAGTGAGATATTTAAACTCAGTGTCATGTTTACCAATACTGAGTACCTGAATGATTAGTTAATAAATTCGCGTATCCAACTTCATTCACATGTTTTGGTTACTATGTATTGAAGCAGGGTTAAGCTTTGCGAACTAAGTAAACCGATACATGCCTCCCCGTGAGGAAAGAACAATTTCTCGACCACACTATGATGCAAACATCGAATGAGTGAGTAACATATTTCCTTCAGTGTTATTTAACTGATGCATACAGGTATGTGTGATGTAATTTAATTGATATAACTTACACATGCTTGAACCTGAAAACTTACACATGCTGAAAAGAAATCTGTGTATAATGCTAGAATACAAATAGCGAAAGAGTAAGTAAGATATTCTGTTCAGTGTTATTTAACTGCTGCATATGTTTTAATTTTGATTCCATATAACTTGTTTTTAATTATAAGAGAAAGAAAAATAATTCAATATTGAACACATATTTCGAGTATAACAAAAGTATTTTAAGAAACTACCTGATAAAAATACATTAGTAATTAAAAATATTTAATTTGTGTACAGGCTGAATTGAAATTAAGATGTGGTGGTGTATTTAATTATGGCAAAGCACACTAGGGCTATCTGTGTAATAGGTGTGATGCCTTCGTGGAGGACTTTCTCAGGGAAACTGGCTTGTATACACGTTACACATGAGGAAAACCACGAAAACGCCCATGCTGCCAGCCCGTTCGCGGGATTCGGACCGAACTACCAGTGTTCAGCGACTTTACCGCTCGGCCGCTGGTGGGCCGAAACTAAGATGTAGGGCAAGTTTATTATTATTATTATTGTGCATATATGTGTAAGAAAATGTATTTTAATTGTTCCATTTTTAATGTATGGAAGGAAGAATAGGATGCCAATATCGAAGATTATTTACTATAGCAAATAATCACGTCAGGATAAATGTTATATAGAAATCTTGGGAGTGTAAGGGATTATAAGAGTACTTTTAGATTATACTGAAAATATACGCACTTCTGCTAAAATCTGAAGTGAATCAGTATGAAGTGACTTTTCACTTTAAAAAGAATGTGATAAGTATACTATTTAAAAGTATAATGATGGATATTAAGAAATTTGTAGAATTTTATGGTATTTAAATATGAATTTGTTAAGTCAAATCTTTTTATATATATTTTTGCTTGAGATATGTAATTTAAACTGAAAATCACGATCATATATTTCTCATGGAATGTCAAAGTTCATTTGTATTAAAAAAAGTGCATGAGCAATGAAAATAAATAGAATAATACTTTTTGACCATGAATACTTTTTTTTACCATGGTCTTAGCAGTTATGCCATCATGTGTTCTGTTCAACAAGATTTATTTAGTGCAAACAATACAACGAAAAAATATTGAAAAATACCTTGGTATACAATATTTATTTCCCTTAATTAACTTAAATATCGTTTTTATTTTCTAATGCTTTCCTTTACGAAAAGAATTTAAGGTTTACAATTATTTTCAGCATTCGTACGAATTCTGTGCATAAAATAAACATTTTCTTTAACAAAATACTTAATCGGAAAGTATATACCCGGTATTTCCGGTGCATCTACCACATATAAAATGATCATTTTGCTTTAGTTTACATTTTTTCCATTACCAAAATCATGTAGCAGACGCGTTGGCCGATGCGTCTTGTCTCCCGGGTGACGTCACTACCAGCAACCAATGGCATGCTTTTTCCGTTCCTGGCCTAACCTTAGTATATTAAAGAACCTTGGTTGTACCCATAAGCATGTAAGCATGATGCTGTGGCTACAGTACAGGGATTTTTTTTCAGTCCCTCTAGCAAATATTAATTTCATACCAATTTCTCTTGTGAGCAGTATAATATTATATATTCTCGTTTCTTCTTTAGAATAATTTTTGAGAAACAGTTTTGAAACCTCATAAAACACTAATTAGAAGTTATGTACTCATATCCAAACCCAAGTGGGAAGAAATTAATTGCATTAGCTTGATTTTTACTTTATTTACTGGTAGTTAATCGAACAACTTCATTGCGATTTTCATGTCAAGACATCTAATTTTTATTAAAAGTATATCTGTAGCATTTATGGTAAATAAAAGCAGTATTTTTGGTGCAAATTTTAGATTTTTTTTAAGGTTTTTGTAAACATTAGATTTCTTCCTCAATGTCAAATAAATCCATTAATTCCAGATGTTCTATTATTTTTTTAATTTCTATATAAATGTTATCTTTATATTTAATTAATTTTTCTTACTTTCCATTAAAAGATCTACAAAAATTCACTACAAATATGGTAAAAAATTGAAAACTTACTGAATTACCATACGCTTTGATGGACATTTGGAACATGAGAAAAAGTTGTTTTCCATAATTTCCTGTCTATGTTCATAAAGAATTTTGATGCCAAATGAGCCTTTTTCAAAAATGTGCTACTTAATGAATTAACACCAAGTGGCATCACTGCTTTATCTGACCATGAAATTTTTCGTCATTTAGTATATATTAAATTATGATTAAAATATTTAACACTGTTACTTTCTTTAATACTAAAAATATTATCTTAATGAATGAAAGTTTAAGAAAACAGAGACTAAAATAAATATTTATAAAAATTCAACTGATAGAAGATGTTTAAATACAGGTTTTCATGAGGACATCCAAAAAGCTGTGCCATTCAGTTAAACTCAGTGTATGTACAGTAAAAGATATAAAAAATTATCCAATTATATGGTAATCTTGATCAAAAATAGCATTAAAATATATTTAGAAAATTTGATTAATTTATAAAAAAAATTCAGCTAAATGTACAATATTTAGTTACATATCAGTAATTTGCTTTACTGCTTTTTTTTCCCCATATCTCCCAAATATTAACAAAAATCCTTAACTTCAAAACTATTACTGTAAATAACAGGCTGCAAAAGTTTTGCGAATTTCCACTACTTATTCTGTGACAGTCCCGAAAATTTTGATTTTTCCCATGATAAAATTACCTAATGGTAAAGTAATTACGTTAATATTGCTGCTCAACATTATAAAAGTTGTATGAAAAATGCTTGTTATTCATTTACATTTATCACAAATATATTAAGTTTCTTTTTTAGATGTATATGTTGGTATCCGATAAAAATTAATATAAAATTATATCAATTAAAACACTGTCACACAGAATAAAGTCAGCAAAATTAAGACTTTATCATGGCGTACCATTTAAAACACCCACACCAACACTGCTACGCCTGGTACTCATGGGAGCAATTGTTTTCCACTCTTCAGCTCTTACATCATAACATTCAGCACTATTTAAACCAGTGGAGCCATCAAAACCACCAACTGCGTATATGCAATTGTTTAGCACAGCTACACCTAAAGTACTTCGCCGGGCTTCCATACTGGGAGCTTGACTCCACTGTAAAGAAAACAGGCTTTTTATTAATTTGAATGTAGGAATAATAAATGAAAGATTAAATTTTACTTAAAATAACTAAACTAATGGAATACAGGACAAAATGATTTCAATTGTTTCACAAATTTCAGGCTACGTATTTCAACACAATTATGAAAACAGCAAAGCCTCCCATTAGTGTGCTAAAGGAACTGATGTTCATTATTAGGAATAATCCATTAAATAGGAAAGCATTACCTAGTTCAAAAGTTTGGAAATTTAGAAACTGTGTGCTAATTATGAGTGCCAAATTATTATTACTTATAAGTCTGGCTGCATATTCTTATAATGTATTTCCAATAATATAAGGAAATGCAACATACGATAGCAAATTTAATATAATTCCATAGGAAATTTAATACAAAGATTTTACAAAAAATTATATATATATATATATATATATAATATATATATAATATAATATATATATATATAATATATATATAAAAGAAAGAAAGAAAAAGAAAAAAAAATTATTTTATATAATTCAAAGGAAGTTTGCTTACAATTACAAAACATCAGTTTTCATCATCTTTGAAAAAAGGCTGTTTTGCTATGACCAGAAAGTCACATGAGTTAACTTTTAGATGACACACCTGATGGGCATATATTTGAATAAAAGCAAATCTAATTAAAAAAAAATTATGTATTTACTTATTTTTTGCAAAATATTGTTTATTTCTTAAAACTTCCTAATACACTCCCCTATTATCTTTTCAATGGAAACTATTTTTTAAAAAACATAAATCTAACTTGCAATATATAACCACTGCAAGGTTCAGCTTATAAAATAATTTTCTGTATCACAGAAAGAAAAAATTGTTGTCAAACAAGTTGTTTTGGAATAATTATTTGCTGTCACACATGATGCACACTTGGGGGGGGGGAATTATTTTAATACTAGCTTTTATTCTGTGACATTTTATTATGGTTTGGATATGTAAAAATAAAGAATAATACATGGAATATCCAATCCAAATAAACATGAATCAGCATAGGAAAGGAATCAAGTACTTTACATAATTATACAACTTTTAAAGAAATTTATATGGTCAAATCTTCAAAGAGAAAAATGCAAGTACTGTTTAAATAAAAAGTTCCATTTATTATTATTAATTATGTATAATAGTATATGCTTGCATAAATGAAAAAAGTTAATTCTTAACTTTCCACCCTCATTTCTCATATAATAACATAAAAAATAATGATGATAATAATAATGAAGAAGAAAAGGTAATGAACAAATAATATAAAATTTATTGGATTTAAACTTCACTTTATACCCTGGTGAAATTGAATCAAAAATTAAATAAAGCTATATAATTTACCTAATTATGAACTTTTTACAACAGTGCTAATAAAATAATTATGTGACATTCATAAGAGGAACCACAGCATTATTCAGATTTACTACTTTAAAATGAAACTTTTTTTCTCTATTCATAAACATATGAGTATATTACTCAATATTATTGACTACATTTGCTCTAAAATGCAATTCTATATAGTGTTGTTATAAATTTTCCATATATGTAAATAATTTTAGTGAAATTAGAGTATTTTTGTATAACATAATATGAAATGCTTGAAAGAAACGATTCTCTGCTGGAAAAATATGAATATAGGAGGAAGTTTATTTAACATTAAGTAAATGGTATCTCAATAAATTGGCAAGATATTGCCAAACTGGCTATGCGGTTTTGTTGACTAAGTTTTGTTGCCAAATTTGGTGAGAAATCATCAAAATTCGCCAAGCTTGTTCACATTTCATTCCAGCACCCTGTATAACTGCAATTAGTATTGTGATTCAATAAATGCAATTGATTCCTATTTATAACTGTAACCATATCTGGCCCTCATATGTTTTCCAGTAATTTTGAGAATTTGAGAAGTGGAAGGTATTAAAGACTTCTCGGTGGCTGGGGGAAACTATATAAGATTGGAGAGCATATCAGTTTCTCAGTTATTAATTCAGCATAAGTTCAGAGCATTGAGAGATCTCCTTATGAGCTTTGTCTTTTTAGATGCACTTTGCACTGTGCTGTGTTTACTGTTCTTAGTAGTTTGAAGTGTAACTACTGATTCTACTCTGTGAAACTGAGGAGAACTGTATGAGTATCTTTCTGGAAAGTTCCAGAACTTTCTTCTGGTAAAAATAAATTTTATCAAGCTATCATTGTTTCCATGTGCATTCAATCTATAACAAACCTGTAAGCATGCAACAGTAAGTTTAGTATACTGTATCTAGTATTTTATTACTGTTATGCAAAAACGATCAATTTTATATAGATAAGTTCTTTTTGAAGGAAAATTGACCACACATTTTGTAATAGTGATTTTAAAAAAGTGTGCATTTCTTTAATAATTAACATTATATATATATATATATAATAGTAATGAATTTAAATCCTACCTGATCTCTCACAGGGTCATAAACATCAACAGTCCTAACACGTAATGAGCCATTAAAACCTCCTACAGCATAAACAAGACCATTAAGTACAGCAAGGCCAGCCCTGCAACGTCGAGTTGGCAATTCTGCTAACTGGTACCACCTTTCTTCTTTGAAGTCATAGCACTCTACACTACGAATGGCCTTAGGAGCCTGGCCACCAGCAACTAGGAGGATCTAATGTGAAAAATATAACAGAAGTATTGTATAAATATGCTTATATACCATTTACCTGTTTAAGAAACATGTGATAAACTTTTTTATGCTTGAAATTTATATAAAAAATAAAATTTTACATTTTCTTTTAAAATTCCCATTTATAAATACACTCATGTCCATAAATTAAGGATAATGCAAAATCAGGCAAAGGAAGAGTTAGAAGTAAAACAAATTTGACTTATTTGTAAAGCTTATTTATTAAACAAAAGGTAAAGAGCCAAAAAAGGTGCTATATGTTGATATTATTAAAAAAAGTAGGAATTTTTTTTTCTCCCTGGAGCAAATTACAAAAAAACCTATTTACAAAAAACAAATATTACATGGTTGTTATGATTGTTAATACATTGTATGTCTCCCAGACGATGCAATACAGTCCGTACAACGCCTAGGCATGCTGAGTATCAAATTATCATGTGATCTAGGGGGATATTACTCCACTCAAAATGCAATGCTCTCCGAAGTTCCGGTAGACATGTAGGAGGAGGTTGACGGGCTGAAACTCGTCCGCCAAGCATGTCCCACACGTGCTCTACTGGATTCAAGTCCGGTGAGAATGCTGGCCGGTGCATACGGTTGATATCCTCCGATTGAAGGCATTCGCTTACGATGTTTGCACGGTGAGGACGAGCGTTGTCATCCATAAACACAAATTGTGTGCCCATGGCGCCCCGAAACAAACGTACATGTTGTTCCAGAATGACCACCCGATAGATTTGGCTTGTCATGGTTCCAATTTGAACGTGCAGGTCAGTTCTGGAACCCAGAATAATTCCACCCCAAACGAGCACTCCTGCACCACTGTAACGGTGTCGTTCAATGATGTTTTCTTGGTGGTAACGGGTACCTGGAGCTCTCCATATGAAAGGTCGGCAAGAATCAGACTGCAAACTAAACCTGGACTCGTCGGAAAACATCACACAAGCCCACTGTTGCGGTGTCCACAATGCATGCTCTCTACTCCAGGCTAACCGCAAGCGAAAGTGAGTTGCAGTGAGTGGAACGCATCTGACAGGTCTACGAGCATATGGACCAATCTGCCCTAAGCGGAACGCATCTGACAGGTCTGCGAGCACATAGACCAATCTGCCCTAAGCGTCTGTACACGATCTGCCTTGAAATTGTCGTACCAGTGGCTGAAGAGAGCTGATGAGACAGGTCTGAGGCTGTGCTCCGCCAGTTTCTTTTGGCAATAACTGCCAAATACCGGTCCTCATTCGGCGTTGTAACTCTGGGGCGACCTGTGCTGTAACATCTACTCACATTACCATCATTTTGGAATCATTGCCAAAGCCTGGAGATGACACTTTGGGCAATTCCAAGTTCGTCTGATACTTCCAGTAGGGTACGCCCACATTCCAGATGGCTGATAATTCTACCACGTAAAAAATCATCCAAATGTGTCCTTTATGTCATAACTATTCGGTTATTGCACTGAAATGCTTATAAAGCACCTGCAAACAATTTTACTTCTTTGCCTGTATTCCTTATATATCACTCTCGTCATTGTGACGTACCATTGGTACCATCTAGTTACTTCCTGAAATTTGCATATGATTCTTGAAGATGTGTGTAGTGATTTTACAGGTGATATATTTATTTTAGAGTTCGATTTCCGCGTGACTCCAATTGTCCTTAATTTATGGACATGAGTGCATTTATCTGCCAGAAATAGTTCTTTAAATTTTTCTTGTTATAAATTTTCCTACCTGAAGAGATTTGACTTGATTTCTGTTAGTAAGGAAATGGTAAACATGTCTAATGCACTTCTGAATGATTAAAAGCAAAATAAGATTTATTTAAAAGCAGGAAAAATAAGAAAATCTTATATAAACTGACTGATTAGAAATTTTGACTTTGCTTAAAACACTCCAAAGTATCACAAGCTAATATAGACAGAAATAAAACAGGATAATAATTAGAAAAAATACATTAGAGCTGATGGCCTTGGTTAATACAGAAATTCCCAAATGCTCTAATAATGCAAAGATTCAAAACACGAGAGATGAAATTTTCTGCTCCCTATTTTACGTTTAGTTGTCAAATGATCCATTTAAAGCATCATTTTGACTCGCTTTGAGTCAAAATGACGCATACACACATACACCAAAAAAAAAAAAAAAAAGCGTTTTTCTTCATTTGCTAGTGCTTTAATCGTGGTTTGGCTTTACAGAAAGCATCTATCTTGTATAAATATGGTTTCGCGAGAAACTGCGTTCCTCCCCTCCCCCCCCCCGACTTTTGCCGCAGGTTGCTTATGCTTTCCTGCTCATGTCATACTTTTAAAATTACGTAAAAATTTATTATATTTAACGATGATTCGAAATGAGTAAAAATAAAGATGGTGATTCCTCGATTCAGTTTTGTTATTTGCTTCATCAAACCTTTACCCTCAGCTATGTCTACAGCCAGAGGTTAAATCACCAGATTCCTTCTACGCATTAAAATATTACAGATTTATAGCTATTCCTTTACATAAAAGAAAACAAATTGATTATTTCCTATATAGCTTAAAATAGAACAAACATTGCACAGTTTGATTTAAAAAAATAATGCATCATATACATCAAAGAGGGAAAACAAAATTTTATCACTTTACATACAATGTAAAATAATATTTACATAATTAATATAAAATTACTGTGTAAATATTTTTTTGGTATACAACTTTATATATAATAATAAAATATGTAAATAATAACATTATAACATAAAATTATTATATGTTACATGCAAAACTTTCTATAATTTTATATTAAGAGTTCTGTTAAGTACAGAAACAATAACACATTTTCAATTAAAAAAAAATCAGAAAACAGCTTAGCTTGGGTTCAAACTCATAATCTGATAACTCATGAAAATTTTAACTCTGGTAAAACCGACCAGGTGATTGAGTTAACTAAACCTAGCCTAAAGGTTGAAAAATCACTAGTAACGAAAAATTAGAAATATAATCAAATGCAAGCAAACAATACATTAAGCTTTTCTTGATTGTCAGAACATATATAGTTCAGAACTTTTTAAAAAAAATCTGAAAGGCTTCAGATTTTAAATTACGTCCAATAAGGCTTTTTTTTTTAACATTTTGTGTGTTAGCTTTATGCATTCAATATTTTGTTATTCGCGCTTAAACCATAAAATTCAGTTAAAGAGCAATATTGCAAAAAATAATTTTAAAATGAGCAAATCTTTAGAATTTTCGATACAGTCTCACGCGCTGGAGATCCAATTTTTTTTTTTTTTTTTTTTTTTTTTTTTTTTTTTTTTTACAGTGTTGAAATTGTTTGCTTTGAAATCCTTTAGTTTGTTAATAAAAAATTCGTTGAAGTATTACAAAATATGAAATCGATAACAGATTTCAAATACAAATTAGGGCTTCCACATGCCCATATTCTACGAAAGATTATGTTATTTAAATTTTGAAGTCCCGTTGATTTATTACAATGCGAGAGACATACATACACTCATGCAGATTTTGCATTATTTAATTTCTTTAAATATAATACAGGGCTATAATATCTGGTGGCAACAATTTAAAAAGTGAAACAACGCTTATCGTGAATCTACACAAACTGCCAAAATGAAATTAATAGTCCTCCTGGGCAAATTTGGACTAAATAAATATATAATTTTCTTTCCAAATTTAATTAATTCTATCACACAAGATCAAAACATTGCTATATAACTTACAATAGCAAATTGCTTATTATTAATGTGAAAAATACAGTCTATCCTTTATACAGAAATTCATCAAAAATTATGATCTAAAATAAATGCTTTATTACATATCAAGTCCGTTAAATAGCAACAAAAAACTTCAAAAATTCATGGCATATGTTATTCAGTAAGTAAAACACTAATTTAGAAGGCCTCATTGTACTTCTAGCACAACTTCCATATGCAATTTCATCAGACATTGCAAAATAAGTTTCCTGTGACACTGTATCCCACCATGGTTAATAAACCATGCCTGATGCAAATGCTACAGACGTGTATTTGACACATTGGTAATGTGTCACCAATGTGTACAATTCATAGATGGACTGGTGTAGGTGCTGAGACATCCAAAGATACGTACGTACTCAGAGATATATCTTCCTGTGCAAGCTTTTTTATGTATCTCTTCAGCATACATCACACATATGCATGTTTACATAACATTATTTCAACTAAATATTTTTTATTTACTTTTTATTTATTAGTATACATACACAACTGACCGTTTTACATTTTTAATTTAAGTAAATATAAATAAATAAATAAGCATTATAATAAACATAAAAAGTATACCTTTGGCCTTCCAATAGGAGTACGAGGTTTTGTCCGAGGTGTTTTATACATAATCTTTTGTTCACCTTTGAGCAAATGGTATTTCATAGCTTCAATTAAAAAGTCTTTACATAAATGATTTGATTTTAATAATGGTTCTTCTTCAACTCGCTGAACAAGATATTCTTGAGATAATAGAGGAAGTCTAACATGTTCAATTAATTGAGCTAGATAGTCTTGACGATTTTGTAAATCATTGTTAACCCAAGCCATAACAGCTTCAAATACCTGTGATGAAAAATAACACCCAAGTTAGTAAATGATTTATTAAAAATTTAAACTACCATCATTTATAATACAAAAACTCATTTTTGAAAGCAACAGTTATATGGGAAAAATAAGATAATTCAATTTCCTTTAAAAGTTTAAAGTGGTAAAATATACTTGTATAAAATGAAGCAAGAGGAAAATTTTAAGAAATCAAAACTTTCATGATAATTAAAATTATTTTTTTTAACACAACAAGTAATTTAACCTAACAAAATTTAAGGAACGTGTATGTGTGTATACAATGGTATACATACATTTTTAATAGTAAGTGAATTATATACAGAAACAAACATAATAAACACAGAGAACTTCAGTACAATCCTCAATTCCTATTTTACAATTTTTTTATTTTTTACACATTAATTTGATCTGCCCTTTTTTTGGCATTTTATTTATTTATTTTTCTTTCCTTTTATTCCCTGACAACAATGCCATTTGCTTCTAACAAATGACCACAGAAATACTGCAAAGTTATGAGTTTGTATAACTAAAAATTGAAATTATGAGATTCTGTACTTTCTCATTTCAGTTACACACCTACATACAAAATGATTCTAATAATGAATTTTAATACATGTTAAACAAAAATACTTCAACATAACAGCAAGTTCTGTAATCTGTTCATTCAGTGTCTGTAATGAAAAGTTGGGAGTGAAATATTGATCATTTCCAACCATCCTACAATTTGTTATGAAGGCTAGGAATTTATAGATTCTTGTTTTTCTTTATAAGTATTAAATTATTCTTATCATTTTCAATACAGTTCTGTCATGGAAAGCATATTACTTCTCTCCACTTAAGGAAGATGCCTTCACAAAAGTTCAAACTTAGATATTAAGACACTCACAAAGTATAGGTGACAAGAAAAATAACAGCTAAGGCAACTTAGTTTTCACATACTTTTATATTCTTGTCATGCAAAACTAAAGCACAAACATAAGCAGAAGAAAACAAACTCATTTAAGTAAGAAAATGCACATTCAAATATTTTTGGAGATGACTGTATGTATTACAGGTTTCGTACACATTTCTGCACATGGAAATTAAGTACTTTTAAGGACCACTAATTAAAAAAATTAAGGACCTATGAGCAAATGCTAACTGAATAAATTCAATTAAAATATTATCTATGCCTGAATTTTACTTTTGTAATACCATCCTAAAAATAAAATAGATCCATTATTACTAAACATGAATTAATTAACATAATTATTAAAAAGATTGAGAATGAAATAAACTTTAATTAATTTATAAAGTAGCATTAAATATTTTACACTTATAATATTTGGACATATTTGAAAGAAGATAAGTGGCATTTACATTTTACTAACATTTAGCATTATGTTGATTTTTTTTAATGTCTCATTTTGTGACATACTTGGTCAGTCTAGAGGTTTAGTAAATAGCAGGTAGATTTTATGTCAAACGGCATAGGTTAAAATAAGAAGATCATAATCAGAATGATTCATAACAAAAAGACCAAATGTTGTCATCGCTGCTGCTTGTTTAGAGAAAGACCTGCTCATTAGAACAAACCTGAAAGGCCTGATGTAGGCACGGTTGGCAAGTGTTGAAAGTTAATTAGGCTCTGTTTGATGCAATTAGTGTCATAGGTCATGTAGAGTTCCAGGGGTTGTAACTCAGTTAATATAGCATAAGGTTCCAATAATCCATTAAAGCACCAGAAGTGATAAGTTATTTTGTATTATTTTAAGTCTCACTAGATGCAAAGAATAAGTTTTACTTGAATTTTTACATTTTTGTATTCTATCTTGTGACCACAGTGAGTATTGATGAAAGGCAATAACTCACTTTAATATGTAGAGATAATTTTTAAGGGTAAGCAGTTAGTTATAAATAATTAAATTAGGTAGTTTGATAACCTTAGTCGTTATGGATTTACATGGCCGCTATTAAATTTTATTTTTTAACAATTTTTGTTAAAAAAGCCCTTTTAAAGTCAAAATCTAATAAAATTTCACAGTTTAAAATACATGTAATTTATGACACAGATTCTTAAACGATATTACGATAATTACACATTAAAAGCTAAAAACCATTTATGTTTTATAACAAACACCACTCAACAAAATATTTATTTGCCATTTTAATTTGAAGCCTTCCCAAAGATTTTGGCTAGTTTATATCGATTTCTTTGTCTTTAAGCATCTTTTTTAACAATTAGAGATTTGTCTTAATATGCAAATCAATGCTCTCACTAATTTCTGCGTGCTTTATCTCCTAACTTATCAACCTCTCTATAATGTACCTATGAGGGTTTACTTGATCTGGTAAAAGTTAAATAGTCCAAAACCTCTGATAGACATGAAACAAATTATCGCTATGTCTAAAAGTAACTACCAATCACGTAAAGGTTACATAAACCTCTTATTTAAAGAGAACTTAGAACATAAAGGCATGTTATGATGCTAACAAAATCAATTACAGCTCACGGCGACATAATTAAACAAGGAAAGTCAAATTCAAACCAAAAATGTGGAGTAGAAGTCAAAGATTATACAATTTAATTTAAATTTAATCTGGCTCAGTAACTCTATCATATGAGGTAATAGACATGGGAAATTAGAGTAAACGCTGAAATCATAAACAATTGGATAATTTACATAATAATAATAACAACTGCACATATCTTTGAAGAATAATTTCTTATGTATTCAGTTTCTTTCTTCAACCATTTCCTTTCATTTTAGAATTTTGATTTAATAAAGCATTATGTGGAAAAAACACTAACTGCATTTAGAATGCATAGAAAAAGCGGCTAATCTTATTCTTTAGTAATATAACATTTATAAGAATATGAAATATATGTAAGGGGTTACAGATCTGATGTGGCAGAATAGTAGAATTTAGTGACACACCGAACAACAAAATCTAGAAATGGCAAAACTTTTAGAATTTAGAGCACATTGGAAGCAAATTTGAAAGGCACTAGGTAGCAGAATTTAGGATCCACAGAGATTGCATCAGGTGGGAAAAATGCCAGTGCCACTATGTGTATGATGCAAAAACAAATTAGATGAATCTTTTAAATTTAAGTTTTTCAAATTTTTATTAATAAAAAAAATTCTTCTATACCTATATATTTCTTTCTATCTGCCCTGCCTGACATGTTATAGATTAGAAGCATTTTTGATATTTTCCATACTGAGTCTAGTGAAAAGTAAAGATATAAAGGGGAAAAACGTGTTAAAAGATTCTAGTTACAGAGTTCAAAAAGTTTCAAATATTAGAAGTAAGAAATCTTCATCAAGTTCTCCAAAAAGTAAGAAATTCTTTGAAAACTTTGTAAAATACATCCATTACGGGTGATACCATGGAGACATTTTTCATTTTGTCGATCTTCTAGAATAGCGGGTCTATAAACTTGCCTTCAAATCCTTCCAAGCTACAATGTCTAAAACCTAAAAAAAATTATCCATACTTAATCTGTAACAGCAAAAGCCAAATATTTTGGAAAAAAAAAAAGGAGGGAAAGGTGTAAATTTTTTATAGAGAAAACTGATGCAATTCTGAGACAATACATGAGAAAAACTCTACTATGAAAAAATTAAAAAGAAGACATTTTTAATTATTTACATAGCAATTTTGCTTTTGCTAAGAGCGTTTCGTAAAATGTGCTTTACAGCATTACACCTTGTTATTTTTCAGATTCAAAATATTGTATAAAAGTTGCCAAATGAAACTTTAATGACAGTGAAAAATAAAAATGTTTTATTTTAATGTCATTTTTTAAATATATTTCAATATTACCATTATTTTATGAAATTTATCAATGTTATAATGTTTTAAAAAATATTGTCGAAAAATTCTCCAGATCTCGGGGATTAAAAATTTTCCATAGAAACTGATCTTAAAATCGCCAAAATGTTGAAAATTCGCCAAATTTAGAACCGTTTAATAATTCACATCCCCAAAAGCGAAAAAGTTGTTTAAGAAGGCTCTTTATTAGGAAAAAATGAATTTCGAAATGCTTATGTTTCACTTCTTGCTTAAAAACTGGAGTATTCCATCATTTATATTAGAAACAGAAACAAATTATAATCTATGAACCCATTCAAAGGATAACCATATATGTCAGTGAATCTCCAAAAATATTCCTCCAAAATGCTAATTCAAACTCAAAATGGCAGTCGTAAAAACAGACAGAAATTTCAAATGATTTAAATTAAGGACCTTCTGCTGAGTTTGGCCAAAATTAAGGACTTTTAAGAACCAAAATCGATTCAAAAAAATCTAAGGACTTTTAAGCACTGTACGAACCCTGTATTAGTGACAGATTGAAGAATCTGGAGAGAGGAGAATGAAGTTAATGTTAAAATTAAGTTTTAACTGTGATTAGTTCATTTTTTTTTTTTTTTTCATACAACAGTTACAGATGCCTACGAAGTTCCTGTATCCCTAGATTTGAGTATCAAGAGAGAAAAAGGTTGGTGTACTTTTAATTTTCCATTGGCAACACTGTTTTCATAGTCATCCCTGCATTCAAGGTCAATGGGAGCATTTCAGTCATAAAGTTATTGCTGGTGTGAGAATTCACAGTGATACTTTTCAGGAACAGTTAGTTGTAAGTGCACAAACGATCACACAAAAAGGCAAACAATGACAAATGTAATGACTACATTTAGAGTTCGCTCTGGTAACAATCAACTTTGCAAAGCAACTCTGCTTGACTGGACGAAATGCATGCTTGCAACAGGAAGCATCAAACATAGCCCCTGTAGCGGATGTAAGAAAACATGCAAGGAAATCTGTGCTGAAACTGTTCACTAATTCACTGTGTGTGTTGTTGATTCTGCAATTAAGAGAAAACATACAACCATTTTATGCGAGTTCAAACAGCTCGCAGAGAAGCATTAAAATTAGCTCTAGTTACTTGTGCCAGGGCCACTTTGATGTTCCCAAAATAAGGGAACAACAAATGAATGTATGGATCTCTA